CTGGCCCCAAGGGAGCCTTCCTCCATGGATATTACATCACCAAGCTACTCCACCCAAATTGAGTATTACAACGCTCAGCTGCTCCATCCAGGAATCGAACTCCCCACCCTGAGGTTGCAAGCCCAGCAGTGCCCATCCTTTGCCAACTTGGATGTGCCCCGGGGGGCTCAAAACACATTTTATTATTCACATATGTCTATGCTCATTAACATTTAATTTTACTTAATTGAAAATTAAATAAACAATTTAACATTCTTTTTCATGTTTCTATTCCCTGATATTAATTCTAAATTAATTAATATTCACGCATATTCAAATTTCATTTTTACAATACAATACATTGACTAGTAAAGAAAAAGAATTAAGCCATCCCTACAGGAGTAGGGGTTCCCCTACGCCCTCTCATGTGAGGTGGGTGGGACCCACCTCAATAAGAAAGTAAAAAAAAAGTGATAATTGTAGAAGCGATTTCAAACCTTTCGCTTTTTTGCAGACTTTATCTTAACCTTCATTTTGTGTCACTCACAGTCCTAAATCTTTTAAAAATTAACACTGGGATCCAAATGGATGATTTCAGTTAGTTTGACCGTTAGTTGACATAATAAATTAACTTTGACCAATTTTAAAATGGTATAATGATAACTTTGAATTAAAATTAAAAAACCAAAAAATAAAAATAACAAAAAAATCAATTCACTGTTCATCTCCTCCTTCCCCCCCCCCCCACACACACACCCCGCCTCCTCCTAAAACCAACCAAGAAACCCACCACTACAGTCCATCGTCCCTGCTGTCGACATCCACCGATCGCCATCCACACCACCCCGTGCCACCGATCACCACCCACCACACCAAATCACCATGTCGCGTCGACCATCGTCACCTACCACGCCCAACCAAATTCCAACCCATCTCTAGAATCTCCACCACGACATTGGCGACTGTCACACACCTACTCACACATCAAGCCAACAATTGCTACCAACCCCATCGCAGGGCCCTTCTATTTGTCACACTCCGTCAATTTCCTCCTACATGCCACACAAATCAAAGCCATATATGTACAAATGATCACAAAAATTCTTGAAAATTGGTAGTCAAATCAACAATAGAACTAAGCAAAATGGCAACCTCTGAAACCCGCCACCATTTAATCTACTAGCTTGAATGACCCAAAAAGCAGATCATTCAAAATAATTGTCCCCCTACAACCCTATCCTAAGCACCACCACATTACAACGTCCTAGCACACCATCACCACTACGACCAAAATCAAGGAGTTATAGAAAAATCAAGATGGATTTCTCCCACGTTGCTTGCACCACCATACTAGCGAACCTTGAAAAAATAAAGAACTCTCGGACCTTGTAGATGATTATTTTGAATCAATGGGTGTGAATGGGATGGTGAGTGGCGGTTGTTAGCGTTGTGGAGATGGGTTGGATTTTCAGTTGATTTGGTTGTGGGATAAGTGAGCTTAAGGGTAGAGAAAGGGGAATATAACCTGATTTTGTTTCTTTTCTCTCTCTCTTTTTTTTTTTGATTTTTTTGTTTAATTATTTAATTAGGAAAGTTCAAAGTTACCATTATTTATACCCCTTCTAAAATTGGTCAAAGTTATTTTATTGGGTCAACTAACAGAAATCATCCATTTGGATCCTAGGTGCTACTTTTTAAAAGATTTGAGACTGTGGATGACACAAAGTGTAGATTAAGGTAAAGTCTGCAAAAAAGTGAAAGATTTGGGACCGCTACTGCAATTATCCCTAAAAAAAAATGGATTAAACCATTTGTACATTGATTTTGTACATGATGGTTGACATGCCTTTACAAATTTAAAAGCGAATGGACGGGAAACTGTTTTTTATTTTCAAACTGACCAATCATGCTGCGACACATGGAACAATGTAAAACTTCATGTCAAGAACCATGTACATATAGCATGGTTGAAAAAAAAATTACCCATCCTTGTATGTGAGTTGTCAGTGGGGGGAAATTCAAAACTTATACGACGTCGTGTAGAGTGAAGTCATCCAAAAGAAAGGGAAGTCTCAGAAAGTTGCGCCACCACAATCACGTGGAAGCCAAATACTGGATTTAGATATAACTCGAAGATTTTCCCTCTCTCTTGTGTGGGTAGCACTGTAGCAGCGTATGTGAGAGAAACAATGGCAGCATCACTGTTAGAGCCGCCATTTTTATCTAACCACCAACTCTTCTCCACAACCCACCACTCTTTTCAACCTCAAAAGCCAATACCCATTTACTATTATGTTCCTTTTTCTCGCTCTTCTTCCGCCTGCCCCCTCCGCCTTTGTGCCGCTGGTGAAAACGCCGAATCGTCAGAACTACCGCCTCCAGCGAAGGCGGTGGCGGAGGATAGTGTTCAAGATAACAGGGTTTCGCTTGAAAGAAGCAAGGACCGACGCAAAGTGGTGAAACTAGCATGGGAGAAGCTGGTTCGGTGGTCACGGTATTGGCGCTCCAAGGCCAAGACTGACGTTCTTGAACGCACTAAAAAGGTGGCTAATTGTTCTTTTTTTTATTAACATTCGGTGATGTTGAAATCAGATTTATATGAATAGATGTCTCTCTCTCTCTCTCTATTAGCTTAAGCATTTACTGGGCTGGTTAAAGCTTTTATGTTTCATGTTTTTTAAAATGTTGAACAGTTTACCAATATTGTTTTTAATGTTTTTGAAGGAATTCATTATCTAGCAAGGGGAATATAGGTTAAGACCGAATGAAAAGGGTAACTTTCTTAAGAAAATCTCTAGCTTCACGAGTCGACAATTGAATTCTAATGTCGCAAATTTGGAATGGGATTGATGGTGAGAAATGGATTTTTGGAGTTAGATTTATGAGTTTTTGTGTTTATTTGGAAACATTGAAGAACAATCAAAGGGAGAGAAGCAGACACCTAACTTACCTTGTGAAGTTAGATACTTAGAAGAACAGGGTCAAGTTGACCCTAAACTCAACCCTTTTATGTTAACTCAATAGGGTCGAGTCAAAAGAAAAAATTATACTTTGGAGAGACTTGGAAAATAGATGGAGAAATCATTACAACTTGATTGCCGATGGAAAACCTATGTAAAATAGAACTCCGATGGAGGAAATATTTTTAACGAGCATATGCTTGACAAGGCTTTTTAGGAAAAATGAATCGCCTTTTCTCTTTTACATGCTTTGGTTTTCTTTCCGAAGTCATAGACGGTTTGTATTTTGTTCATTTTTTTTTATTTCCTTTCTTTCCATGTGTATTTGATGCATTGTTATTTTAGGTATCATTTAGATAGCAATTTGTCAATTTGGAATTATTTCATTCCTATTCAGGAATGTAGATGGGAAGAAGCATAAAAGAGAGAAATAGAAAAACACCAAAACTTGCACATTTTCCCTTTACATGTATAGGATAAGAATAAGAAAACCACTCTTGCTAGTTGCTTTTTTGGTACAATTAGGCTCCAGTCGCCACCACTAGGTTGAAAGTAGATATTGCAATTCTGATGTAAGATTATCCGGCAGAAGGTTATATGAAGAAGAAAAATCATGGAGTAGGTTTCTGAATCTAAACTTATTTTCTCTCTGAAGCTTACGATCTCAATAAGGAAGTTTAAGTATTTATACCATGATTTTGCAATGAATCTTCTTTCGTTAGTGGTTCTCGTTAGCATTACTGCAATTGTTTGTCTTCATTGTGGTTTTGATACATAAGGCAGAGCTGCGTGAAGATACTGATCTCATTTGAATTTAAAATATTTTGCACTTAGGTGGTAGTTCTTGGAGGTGGATCTTTTGGAACTGCAATGGCTGCCCATGTTGCTCATAGAAAAGCTGAACTAGAAATAAATATGCTCGTACGAGATCCTGAAGTTTGTCAATCTATTAATGAGAGTCATTGTAATTGGTGAGAATCACTTTATTATGACCTTTTTAATTTTGCCATTAAATAGTTCCTGAAATTTCTTGTCTTCGGTTTCAGTAAGTATTTTCCAGAGCACAAGCTACCTAAAAACGTGGTTGCGACAACAAACGCTAAAGCTGCTCTACTCCATGCTGACTTTTGCTTCCATGCTGTGCCTGTGCAGGTCTTTTGACTTTCTGTCTTCTGGTAGTGCTTATCTTGTAACTGCAGTATGCTAGACATTTTTTTGAATTTAACATGCTTCCAGTTTTCCAGTTGACTTGAAAATGTATCTAGTCCTTTGCTGATCATTCATGTATCGATCCTATATATGCTCTTTACTTTTTTGGTTGATGTAGTACTTCATTAAGAATTATATACTTTATTGCAGTTCAGTTCATCATTCCTTGAGGGCATTGCAGATTATGTTGATCCAGGCTTGCCTTTTATATCCCTGAGCAAAGGTCTAGAACTCAATACGTTAAGAATGATGTCTCAAATAATTCCCCGAGCAATGAAGAATTCTCGTCAGCCCTATGTTGTTCTATCTGGGCCTTCATTTGCTCTAGAGTTGATGAACAAATTGCCAACAGGTCACTTGGCCCTGTTCAGAATTTGATGCTTCTTAGATACCATGTTTTTTTTTTTTGTTTTGAAGTGTCTGAAACATTTTTTTTTTGTGTGTGTTTATTTAGCTATGGTTGTGGCATCAAAAGACAAAAAAATGGCAAATTCAGTCCAGCAGCTTCTAGCTTCTAGAAACCTGAGAATCAATACTTCAAGGTAGCGAGTCTCCTGCAATTTTGTCTCTGTCATTCATATTAACTGAACTTCATAGTGCATGACTCTCTCTTCTCTCTCTCTCACACACACACAGAAACACATGCGATCATGAACAAAAAGATGTGTAGATATATTACTTTAAGGCTCAGCCTGTAACCCCTGATGCTACAGGGATGTTACAGGGGTTGAAATTGCAGGTGCACTAAAAAATGTACTTGCCATAGCAGCTGGAATTGTGGAAGGGCTAAATCTTGGTAATAACTCCATGGCAGCTCTTGTTGCACAAGGTTGCTCTGAGATAAGATGGTTGGCAACAAAGGTTGGTCAATTTCTCCTCATCCCATACAATCTTTTCCAATTCTAATTTGATCCAGACTACACCTTTAGGAGGCGTTCTTTTGCTAAGTAGCGGAGGATTCCCAATTGAATTTATTTGCTTATGGCCATTTTAGTAGGTCTTGAAGATGGTATGCCTTTTTTTCTGTTAGATCTTTAATTGTGCCTTCTTTTGTTAGAACATTTTTGGAGACTGGAGTATCATAATATTAGCTTGCATGTCCAAAGTTGAGATATTTTGATACTGTTGACCAAATACCTTCGTCTTCAATGTGGACAATTCACTTTGGATACTTGGATCCTGCACACACGTCCAAGCGAAAAAGTGTTCTTTCATCTTTTAATAATTTTATTTTTAGTCTCCGTTCTCTCTTTTTTCCCACTTACTTTCGTTGTATTGTGCATATTATTTAATGCTGCTGTATTTCCATTTCAGATGGGTGCCAAATCAACAACATTGACTGGTTTATCTGGAACTGGAGACATCATGCTCACTTGTTTTGTAAATCTTTCAAGAAACAGAACTGTTGGTGTTCGTCTTGGATCTGGGGAAAAACTCGATGATATACTTAATTCTATGAATCAGGTGACTTGAAGTATTTTCTTATATTAGCTCATATGGTTTGATGGACACTAGAGTACTGGATAATATTTAAGAAGAAAAAGAACTAAAATTGTCTATTACACAATCGAAACCAATCTAGTCTAGTATAGTACTGATAACCAAATATGTCCAATATGTTTAATCAAGTAGCCCTGTTGACTCTTGATATTTCTGAATTTAGGTGGCTGAAGGTGTATCCACTGCTGGTGCTGTGATAACATTAGCCCAGAAATACAAGGTTAAAATGCCAGTCTTGACAGCCGTTGCACGAATTATCGACAACGAACTTACTCCTGCAAAAGCAGTTTATGAACTAATGAACCTCCCTCAGGTTTGTTTCCTTAAATGTATGAATTACATGGAGTATAGTTATAATCTTTTTTACATTCTTAACCTGGTAGATCCTAATGTTGAGGTAGATTGTACAGTAGTATTAAGAAAGAAAGAGTTAACTTTTTCCACTAAACTATCTAAGTCATATTTATATTCTGTTTGATGCACATTATTGAGTGGAGAATGCATTTTAAATAGTGATTTGATGAAAAATACGTGGTTAAAAAATAAGGAAAAAATTTGGATTTCCGTGTAATATTATTTTATTGAAAAATGTGGTTGAAAATGAGTTTTGAAAAAATGAGTTTTTGTAAGAATGTGGATCAAACGGGGTGTTAATACCGCGTGCCAAACATGATCTTTGGGTTTAGCACTTTTAGAAGGATGGTATGGTATTGAATTTCTTCTTGTAGGTTGAAGAAGTTTAGCAGCTCTGGGATTTGCTATAGAAGACTATATACACTTCCCATACATTCAAACCTTTGCTATCTGTGGAGGGGCACCAAAAATCAAAGAGATTCCACAATCAGGCCCTATACAATTCATTTTTAACAAAATTCTAATATACTAACAATTGGTGTAGTTTGTAACTAATGATCAGTGCATTTATATGAAATTGTTACAATATACACGTATGTGCCCTTTCGTTCCCTTCTTTCAACTTTGGAGGCCAAATCTCCGGCCAGAATAACCCTTGTGACGGTCAGTGCTACACCCTCCTCGGTATCATCAAATATCTCGTACCCCGTATCTACACAAAGTTAAGCCATTTTGTGATGATTTTGCTCACCTATTTGACAGATGCAGTATTGGCAGCACATGATTGGGTGCAAAGTTTTTTTTTTTAAATAGTTCAATGACAGAATGCCATGTGACGTTCCCTCAAGTGGGCAAATATTCTATCAATGTAGGATGATTGATGTGCGGGAGGAATGAAATTTAAAAGGCTCAGCCATTTGACTTCATGCACCACACACGTTTTTCTTAACTTTCGTAACGAGCATTCCTCGACTCCAACAAAATTACAAATATATTAGTTTTGCAGCCCACGTGGTCTATTCTAGAGAAGAATGTGATTCTATATAATGCCTTGATAGTAAAGGGAGAATAGTATTCCTTCTACTTTTACCATCTGACAAGAATTTGTGTCTATTTTTTCAACTATAGTTAGGCTCAAGAATTAATATTCCTAGTTTTTTTTAACATAAAAAGCTACCCCGATTCACTGCATGCATGGTTTGGTTCTATACTTTTCATTGATCCCTTTGAACTCAAGACTTATCCTAATCTTTGAATCCCAAACTAGGAAAAAAGAACATATTCCATATATAATTTTTAGAATTCTTAAAGTTTCTGTTTGGTTTAACTAAAAAGTTGATAAATATTTAAGTCGAAATCAATAATTAATTTTAAAAGCACATTTTATGAAACCCGAAACTTTTAATAACTTTTCGACCATTTTTTTTTATATCAATTTTTAGTGAAAATATACTATTAATCTTATTTTTAACTAAATCAAACTCAAACGAAGCTTAATATGCATTTTTTTGAACAAGTCAAGGTGAACATTTTTTAGGACGTCTATTTCTATGTATGTGTTAGTGTGGGTTTTTTCTTTTTTCATACTTTTTTTTTAATCTTCTATATATTAAAAGTGGCTATATAACGGAATTTCTTGTTTTTAACGGAAAAACTAACGGAATTTGTTGTTTTAACGGACTATGTAACGGAATTTCTTGTTTTAAACAGACAGCTGCATCTGCTTTCAATATTTATATAATAAATTTGTATTCCAATATCCGATTATGGCGATTCAAAATGCGTTGGAAAGTCTAAATTTGATTCCATTGACGTCTCCTTTATCCAATTGACTCCGAGCACTTTCAAATCTTTATCGTGAGGTTCGGCACAACTTTTAAGTATTTACATTTTAGTCCCCGAACTTTGGATCCCTTACAATTTAGCCATTTCTCCAAATTTGTCAACTTATAACTTAGAAGATGTGTACTTATGAAATTAATGGAGCAGGTCAAATTAAGCCCATGTCTGGCTTCCCATTTTTCAAAAACTCATGTTTTCAAAATTCGTTTTTCAACTATGCATTCTTCCATAAAAAATAATTTTATACGTAGATCGAAAACTTTTCCTTCTTTATAAACTACACATTCTATAAAAAATCATTATTTCAAACTACATTTTTTTTATTATCAAAATGAGGTTCAAACATGGACTAAATGTATAGGCATTGATAAAAGAGATGGACATAATTTCAAAAAACTAGTACATGTAATTATGTAGTGTTGAGAACAGGATGTAAATAGAAAGGTCTTACGATTTATTCAACGTAGAATGAACACCGTTTAATTTTTCTTTAATAGTTACAATATTCAAGACAAAATATTACATAGCTTGTAGCCGACGTAGGATGCATAGTAGTCCCGAGTGTTTCAAGAAACATGCCTATTATTATTAAGGAATAACCAAATCTTGTCTACATTATTTGATTCTTGATTTAGCCAATAAGCTTTACTTACAGTAAAATTTGAATATGTGATATGATTTATATCAATAATCATCTGTTCACTTTAATAATATGATTAAATAGTGATTAATGAAAATTCATTGTAAGAAATCGGAACCCACACGGCTGGCTAGTCTACGATAAAGTGCAATTGCATCATAAAAACTTTATTCCTCGAACTCTACTTGCATTACATGGGCCAAGTCCTGCCTTGGGTGGGGCCAGCGCTACAGTGAGGGCCCCGTAAGGTCCCTGTGAAACTAATTTCTGTACACCAATAATTATTCTTATTCCTCAATATCCAAAAAATCTTTACTTGTACACTTGAAAAACAACGAATTAAGAACATGTTTGGCCACCTAAGCTCAACAAAAAGTTAAAAATTATCTTTATTCCAGCTCATGTTTGGATTAGAGAAAGTTGCTTATATTGAAACTAACTTGTACCTCAATGTCAAAATAAGAAATTCATTTCCTTTTTGTTTTTTTCTTACTTGAGGAGATATAAGCCTAACTCAATGTGCTTTAAGGGTTGGTTAGATGGATATCTTTCGATTACTTTGTTACTAACTTTATTGTGCTTTAATTATGAATTTCTAACATGTTTGGCGTGTTGATCTCAACAAGAGAAGAAGTTGGGATCTAATCAAATATATTTTAAAGTACTTCGTACCAAACATGACCTTCATTATAATCTCGATATATTTACGGTTGACTACACGAATCGTGATAGACATGATAAAAAAGAAGAAAAATAGATCAAAATGTTGTTAATTTTCATTATATTCTTTATCATCTTTATGACCTTTTTTCCCAGTGAGAATATTGCTTTAGATTTTTATGGTCTTTAAATAACACCATAGAATTCAATATCATAAACAAGAAACTGAGAAATTCTAAACAAAATTTTCATGGCTTCTTCTTCTTCTTCTTTTCCTGATGTATATGCCTGGCTTGAAAACCTTCCACCAATCCCACAATGGAAAACAGATTCCATGTCCATGAATATATGCCCATTTTCATCAATCCCTTCCTTAAAACTCTCAGTCAAGAACTATAACTCATCATTCTCTCTCTCTATATATGCAGATTATAACCTCCCTCTCTCTCTCTGGAACTCTAAAACCTTTTCACCAAATCCCATATCAAACAAACTTCTGGATGATCATGAAACAGTTTCAGGTCTCTTCCTTAATTTCATTGAAAATATTCTTATGTACAGTCCAAACAGAAGTATTTCTTCCAATTCGCTTTACAGTCCAAACAGAAGTATTTCTTCCAATTCGCTTAGACTTCCAAGAAGTACTTACTCGGAAAATAACTTTAAAGATCTGTTTAATTTCTCTTTTCTTAGCCTTACTTTTATTATTTGCATATATGAAGCTCCTACTGATATTAGATCCTCATGTCTTTCGACCCTGAAAGATCAATTTGCATGCCCAAAATCAAGAGAAGTTTCCAAGATTTTGATGAGGAGTTTGGGGTCTAATATAGAAGAACATTGGATGCGTTCCATAAATCTTGCAATTACTAATTGGGTTACAGAACTACAAGGTGAAAATACTGACTGCACAAGTAGTAACTGTAAAACTCCTTCGCCTTTGTTTTCGTACTCGTTTTCCACATACGGGTTGTGGAAAGTTCAATTGTATTGTCCAGTCATATCTATGGAAGTCGAGAAGTCAAGTAGTCCTTCGCCAGATGAACATTTGCTTTTCTCTCTCAACTATCACCAACTGGAGGGGGTGATCCAGCTTAATCATAGGGCGATCATTCAAGAAAAGTGGATTGAAGTCAGAGTAAACATAGATAACATCAGGTACATTTACTCTGTTTCTTGAATTATTAACTCGTCGCGTGCATGATAAATGACTTTATGAAGGTTTGATTATCTCGTTGATTCCTGCACGAATACTAGGAAACAAAGAGCTACAAACTCGTTGATACAAAATATTGCTACAGATTATTTTTTTGAAAAATAAATTCTTGTCCTATTCATTTGAACCAGGTGTGATGTTATGAAGCTGGTGACAGATAAACTCATGAAGGAGCGGGGTGCAGGAACAAGTGAAAAACACTTTCCTTCAAGAATTGCATTGCAAATTACTCCAACTATGCAGGCAAACATCATAAGCATATCAGTTAGCAAATCAACAGAGAATCCAGCACGAGAAATCGGCGTTGAAAAGTCGATCGAAGCATCATTCGAGCCTCCAAATCCACACATGGGAATAAACTTCTCTGCAGGAGAAACCATGACAATAAGCCTAAAACCATGGAAATTTGAGCAGTCTGTTCATGGAAACACTGCAATTTTGAACTGGTTTCTGCATGATAGTGTGAATGGAAGAGAGGTATTTTCTTCAAGACCGTCGAAATTTGCTTTGCTTCAACCCAAGGCATGGTTTAAGCATAGATATTCAAATGCTTATAGGCCTTTTACAAGGCAAGGAGGAGTGGTTTTTGCTGGTGATGAGTATGGGGAGAGTGTGAGTTGGAAGGTGGATAAAGCTTGCATGGAGGAAAGTATGGAGTGGCAGATTAAGGGTTGGATTTGGTTAACTTATTGGCCTAATAAGCATAGGACACTTTATACTGAAACTAGGAGGTTGGAATTTAGGGAAATAGTCTATCTTACCTTGGTTTAGCTGATTGGATCGATCTTTCAAGATCTTTGGTCGTGAATATAATGGAATCGCTTCTTCCGAGCTTGCGGTTTCGACTCTGTATCAAGAATTTCATTTGAATTGTTTGGAAAACCTGCGCTTCTATTGATATTGTACCTAATTAAATTTTGTAATTCGACAACATCGATTAAATAAATATTTAATTTTCAATTATAATGTCATATTCAGTATCATTCCATTCGATGGACTAATGTCACATTTGGTGTAGCAGCTGTTTTGCATTTATATCAACTAAAGGTTATCGAAGTGATTCCTTCTGACCTCCTATTTTTGGCTTCGTCGCAAATTTCCCACTCTTTATTAATAATGAAGAATCGAGTTAAAGTTAAAGATAACAACTGGGGTTTATCTATCGAATATGAGGTTTTTTCCCCCCTTAAGAACTGTTTTTTTACTTTGAAAATCTGTAATTCAAGACAGAGACACAATGATTGTTAGTCGATGTTAATGTTTAATAAGTCGATATTGGATACGGAGTGGATGCTAATAATGGAGCAACTATATGAGTTAAAAAAAATACTTTAATGACCAATTCAAAATTTTATTTCAAGTTTAGTGACAATTTGTGAAGTTAACTCAAAAATATTTAATTAGGTAAAGAAATAATCTTTTTTTATATTTTTAATAAAAAATTGTGAAAAGAAAATGGTAAGTGGTGGGTGAAGAAACTGAGGGAAGGGGCGGACATATCAATGTACAAACTAACACATATCCAACTCAGTCCCATTTATTTGTTGTTGTTTCTATTTCTTTTCAAAAACTCTGATTTCTATTAGATCTCCAATTCATTTTATCTCCTCGATACAATCGGAATTTATATCACCGATGGAGTCCGCCGCCGTTCTCCGCTCCTTTCATTGTCAGTCCTCTCTTTACATATTTTAATTAAACGCGTACATATTGCTTCCGAATTTCAGCTTGCATTTATGATATATGTCTTTACGCAGCTTTGCATTTTATTTTTTGTTCTGCTATGCATGTCGTTTTATTTAGATGATAATTATTGGCTACATAATGTTCTGGAAAATGAAAAAAATAAAAACGGAGTGTGCTATATAGTTCTGATTTGATCAAGTAGCTTATGCCAGCCGTTTGAAATTTCTTTTGGCCCTTTTATTTTTATTCTGCACTATTTTAGTTGTAAACGGAAGGAAATAAATCTGAAAATGGTAATTAGTTGTAAATGGTTTTAAATTCCTTAATTAATTTGCCTTGGTAACTTTGGGATTTTGATCTGCTGAGCGAGGTGATTCGGGTGAACTGTTAAGTTCAGAAAAATTAGTCATTCATGTTCTGATTTTGTGAACTATTCAAGATAAGTAATCCCTTCTGCTCTAAGTGGAATAATGTAAACATCTCAACAATTGTACCATAGTCCATGTTCACTGCACAAGTGTTAATTTAAAGTTTGCCAAACTGCTATCGACCATATTTTGGTTTTAAATATTTCTACAAGTAACTTCAAATTCACTTTTAGGTTAATTTGTAGATTGTTACTCCAACTCTTCTGAATACATGAAGCACCTGTGTGCACCTGTGTAGAACATTTGACACTCGAATAAGAATACGAGGCATTTATCTAATATTTTAAAATGATGATAAGTTTAAGACATGCATCGAATACGTATAATTTGTTCTATAATTATCCAACAGCAAGAAGATTGTAAATCTTATAGGATGTTCAATTTGTTGAATAACTATTTCAAATAGTTTTGAGGATGATTTTGAACCTTTAATATTAAAATAGACTTCATTTAATCATGAAAATAATTAAAGAAAAAATAATCTTTACGTTGTCATGTCCACAAATTAAGAATTTGAAAGTTTGATGAACCCAATGCTTAGACCCTTAACTGCATATTTAAGTCATACCATTTTTGGAATTTTCTTCTATTTAATGGCCTAAAAATCAGTTTATGCCTTGCAAATCCATGCTAACATACACGTTTTTTTAATAGTTGTTTAGTTGTTTTTCTTGAAGAAAAGAAACAACAATTAACGCTAGCGTATTCATTATCTGATCAAGTAGCTAGATATTTTGAGATCTTTTTCATCAAGGTTTTCCTTGATATCCATTTAATTGGTCTTGAAGTTCTCCTATTTCTTCAATTGTAAGTTGTCTAGTTAATTTTACTTGAAAGTATCTTGATTAGATCCATGGCTCTACCAACATTGTTGTCACAACTGAATGGGTCAAAAAAGTTTAAATTCACGTTAGCAAGTAGTGGATACCCAAATCTATATATTATTTACACTATCCTCCTCAATTGACATGGAACTGAATGTTATGAACTTCTCCACTAAAATCTATATATTATTCACCCTATCCTCCATGATTGATATATAACTGAATGTTATGAACTTCTTCACTCAATTATGTGACATACTAGTTGCATCCAGTATACAGTTTATGGCCCTTTTCACAAGTCCTTCCTCTCTAAGTGGGTTGCTCCATGAAGGTGTCAGGTACTACAGGTGGGGACCAAGTCAGACCCTTGGTAGTTGGCACTAACCGACTGACCCAAAATACTTTAGCTCATGTTGACAAGTATCAGTTACCCAAGTCCTTTTAAACCAGTCACAAAGTACCTTAATGATGTGGAATTACCTCTGTTGTACATATACTTCAACTAGGGTAGTGTGTCCGTATCTGACACATATCGGATACCGACACTCGTCGGATACTCTACCATGATTATTTTTCTTTTTTATTAGAAATATTATATATTTTTTACTCATATTTATTCGTAAATAACAAATATGTACTCTTATTTAAAAGATTTTAACAAGAAAAATTAATAACAAGTATAAAACTAAATTTATACTATAAAAATGGAGAATTTCAAAGAATTTAATTAACGCGTTAATGACGTGACGTGTCATTTCTTTTTTTTTTTTTTAAAATGACGTGTCGGTGAATCATAGCAAATTACACAATCCTTTGATATTGGACACTTACGGATTTAGGTGGGACATGGAAGTTGCTAAAATTTAGGTTATAGGATTCTGTCAAAAAGTGTGTACTTAGGTCTCATCAGTATGGGGGCACATCAATCAGAACAACAATTAACTTGTTTTAGTAGGCTCCAAACATATTTTACCCATATTTCTCATAGAATAATACTCAAAAGTGGTAAATTTTAACGGAATTTATGTTGATTTTGAGAGAAAACATACCTTATTTCGTAATTAGCATTCTACTGGATTATGTATCAAATTACAAAAATGTTGATATGAATGAATTAGTATCAGGTAACAAGGATGGTAAACACCCCCTTCGACCAAATTACCCAATATAATGATATCCATTATATAATATGATTATATAAATGGATCGAAATAAAAAATTTATCTGTTCTGATCTCGCATAAACGCTCGTTATCCTTGTATACAAACTGCTATACTTTACATGAAGCAGAAGCTTGACTATTACCATGGCCATTCAGATTCTGTCGGCACGAGTTCTCATTTGAAGTCTGTACTTGAACAACCTGGCACAATTACTATGAACAATGCATCCCTTTCAAACCTAAAAAAATTGCCTTTCTATGGTGGAAAGAACATGTCACTTACAAATAAGCGGGGAGCAATACTTGTACCATTTGTGAAGGCCTCTGAAAGTACTGGGACAGCAAAATCCAGTGGTGAGTTGTTGATTTTCTTTGTCTAAACCTAGGAATACGAAAAAGCTGCCTTAATGATCTAGCTGTTATTGTTCTCATGCAACTTGAAACAAAAGTTTAGCTTTTCTTATTTGATGCAAATTCAGGTGACCCAAATAATCATCAAAATGGATCAGTGGAGAAGAAATCGTTGCCGGCAACGTTCCCCAATGGTTTTGAGGTGTCTCTAGATATATATGTTCCATTTATCTTTTTTCAACCAGATTTGTTGTTTTGACTTGCACCATCTGTCTAGACTTAAAAATAAAAAGAAACTAGCCTCTTGATAATTTTTTCGAACCTCCAACACTGTTCTTCAAGTAGATATATAGTTGTGGGTTGAACTATTGTAGACGTTGCTCGAATAGACACGGTTGAAACGCTGGTATTTTCTTTTGAATCTCAAAACTTGGCTTTCAAAGTACTAATAAGGAAAACATTAAGTGGGCATAAATTTCTATCTTCCAAGATTTTTGAAAAATAGTTCAGACTAGGGATTTCAACGAGCCTTGTCGAGCCAGCTCGTGAGCCGAAACTCAAAGCTCGGGCTCGAGTAAAAATGACTCAGGTTTTTTTTGGCCAGAGCTGAGCCGAGTCAAAACTTGGCCGGAAAATTGAAGCTCGGTTTAGGCCTAGCCGAGCTGACTCGATTTTTTTAAAAAATTCATCACATTCTAAATTTTTTAAAACAATTTAAAATATTTGCTATTTATACAAATTTTAGTTTAAATAAAAGTTACAACCATCCTCCTTTTTTGGGGTTTGGGACTGGCTACAATCAACGTGGACGGAGTTAAAATTGTACAAGAATACTTTCAATATTATTGAAGTAAATTGATATGAAACAAAATTTTTTATCTCGTATTTATAGCAAAAAATCCGTTCGTTTCTACAAATTTTGAATTTGATGTAATTTCTGCTTGTTAAAAAGACAGAAGGCAATCATAGCTGCCATATATTTTGTATTAAAGTAACAGCTACAGCTGCTTGCAACATGCAGATAGCTTGCTGTCCGTTGCAAGCTAGCATTTTTTTCAGACTATTCTTTTAAATGCTTGGGTTTGGGTTGGCTCGTCACGGGCTGGCACGTATGGTTGACGAGTCACACGGGTAAGGCTGTCCGTGGGTCGGTTCGGTTATGAAGTTCAGAACCGACCTAAAACTTTCGGGTATTTAATAAATGGAACCGTTGGGTCCAAATATAATTATGGAACCGTTCGGGTTCGGTTCCATTCGGTTCCATACCATAATTAAATTTTTTAACATTTACAGCAATCCTACATAAATACAACTAATGCCATTTCACTCGTAACTTGTATAAATTAACGTAGCCCAATTCAAAAACATATAAATAACTTGCTATCCAAATGATTTGGATATTGGGCTTTAAAATTNAAATAACTAGTTATCTAATAAAATTAATTCAATGCATACAAATAGCAAAAATAGATGTTAATATTAAAATATCGGTGATCCATATCAAAAACTGCAAATGGATCCCAAACTCCATTGTTTCTTGTCTTTAAAATGGGTTTTAAAATGATTTGGACTTTAAAATGATTTGGGTATTGGGCTTTAAAATTAAAATTATGAAATGATCTAATTTATTTAATTAATTTGCTAATTTGTTTAGAAAAATATAATTTAATTTAATTAATTCAATATAAAAAATAAAAAAAATTTATTTAGTTTCAGGTCTTATTCGGTTCTTCGGTTCTTGGTCTAGAACCGAGACCCGACCCAAACCCATCGGTTCCCGATTTGGGTATTTAACTTATGAAGAACCGCTCGGTTCGAGTTCGGTTCGGTCCGGTCCGGTCGGTTCGATTCGGGACTTTTGGACACCCCTATACACGGGCCAGCTTAGGCTTAGGCCGATGCCCCAAAACGAGGTTCGGCCCTAGCCGCAAGCCGGGCTGACTCGACTTTTCCCGAGTCTAGCCTCGGGCCACCCAATTCGGCGAGCCAAATTGATAGGGTTCAGACGAGATATTTTTTGTTTTATTTGATATAATTTGGAGTTGAAGTATGGAAGGGTTAATATGAATTTTCGGTTGGAAACTAGATGATTCTCCTCACATGAACAATCAAATAAATATTTCTGGCCAAGAATATAGCCTTGTCCTAGGAATTTTATATTGATTGAATTTTAAGTGTTTTTGAAAACAACAAGGTAAAACACACAATTTACTCAGGCAGAGAATTACTAGAAGTGATTTTATTCTAATAATTTAAGCTTTTGCCTTTCAGTTCTGATGTTTCTATGATAATCATATGAGGATGATTTATTTATTATTTATTTTTTTGGGTAACAAGTAAGAGTATGTTTATTTGAAAAGAAGCCAAACCTGTTGATTGTGTTCCATGTCTATTTTGTTTAAACTTCATTATTGATAAGTTCAGTAATTTTTGGTAATATGACTCCACAACAATGCGTTTCTTTCTAGATCTCTCGTGTTACGTAGTTGTCATTATGCCAGAACTTGTGCCTGCAAGAAAAAGACATTTGCTTGGGGGACTTCCTTGCGTTCTAATTTTACACGTACTAGTACTAGTAATAAGGGTGATATCTTCTTTTATTGTTTATTGAAACATGACAAGCACACTTATTTGATTTATGTCAGACACTGCTCACAGAAGTCTGTGAGGAGACAAAAGTCGCGGAGCTGAAAATTAAGGTGAATCTACTTTTCCATCAATAGCTTTGTAATTTGTTTACATTTATGTGAATGTGAATTGTTTGGTTACTCAGGAAATGTTGAATTTTAGAATATATGCCAACAATTTTGATTTGACATGATTGAGGATAAACTAAGAGAAAAACAATTTAGGTTGGGGAATGTCTTGTGCTGAAGAAACTGAGGGATACGATTTAAGTGGAACATGATAGAAGTGGTAGATATTGACCTATGATGCGCTGACACGTGTCGGACACACGAACACACAATTTTTCAAAAAAGTACTAACACAAAACGTTAATTAAATTCTTTCAAATTATATAGTATAAATTTAATTTTATACTTGTTATTAGTTTTTCTTGTTGAACTTTTTTAAATTTACCTATTTGTTATTTAGCCCCAGTTTGATTGCCGTTATTTGGGAAAAAACAATGTTTTGAATAGTGATTTTTAGGAGAATGTGTGGTTAAAAAGTAGGTATAAGTTTTGGGTTTACGTGCATAATATTTTATGGCTTGAATGTGTGGTTGAAAATGTGTATGTAGAAGAAAGAGTTCAAATAATGGTTGTCAAACATGGGCTTAATAAGTTGAAAATATATAAAAATTTTATAAAGAAAGAAAAATAACCATGATAGAGTGTCGGGAGTGTCAGTATCCGACACGCATCGTACATGGACATGGACACGTCACCCTAGTTGAGATGTGTGTGCAATAGAGATATTGACCAAATATAGACTGTTATGGTCTTGAAGGATTAAGTTGAATTGGATCTTCTAGCAGATATGGTGATAAACTGAATGGAATAGCAAAGAGGTTTCATGAAACCAGCCCTAAATTTATTGGGAATAAGCGCTTTGTTTTTATTAATGTTGTAATCCATAGAGATTGTCTTACCTTCATCATAAAGAATTCCAGAATTATGCTGGTGAACTTACCATGAAGTCGTGAAAGAGAAATAAATTTTTTGTCAGTGACTGCATACCTGGAAGACTTTCTAAAGGTTAGTCAAGTGAGTCTAATCAGAAATGAAGCAACTAAACAGTATGCACGATTTGGCAAAAAAATGTTTATTGATTACATATTGGTGAGCATCACTTTGCAATAATGTCAATGCCGATGATCAGCACCTTGCAATTATTGATGGTTGCCAAGTATGTTTATCTGTATCACTGCTTTATTTGACATAGAAAAGAAGCATCAAAGTACAGTACATTAGTTTGTTTGGGGTGATCCTCAAGAATTGACAAGGTTATGGTCATTGTTCCACGCGTTTGTTGCTTTGTATCATTAAATTACTCACACGTGATGTCTAGCTTGGGTTGTTAACCTTGATTGTATTAATGGTTCTGAAATTGCAAGATGACATCACAAACATGTTCTGACTATCCCAGTGTATTGTTTGGAAATTCATGTTTACATGGATGTTTCCTACTTTGTAACAGTTTGGAGACTTTCAAATGCATGTGAAGAGGAAAATTGAACCTGCACCAACTCCGGCACCAATTGTTTCTCCCACATCTGCTCCACCTGTTCCAAGTGAGCCAATGAATGAATCAGCTCCTGCTGCTGCTCCACCATCGCCATCAAAATCTTCTGAAGAAAAGATCAGCCCATTTACAAATGTTTCTGCAGATAAGGCAGCGAAGTTGGCGGCACTGGAGGCTTCAGGATCAAGTGGCTATGTTATCTTATCATCTCCACAGGTATGTATTGATGACCTCTTATGGCTATATGTATGCAACGTAATATGCTTTTAGTAACTCTCTGCAAATTCCCTCTTTTAGGTTGGTTCATTCCGAAGGGCCAGGACTTTGAAAGGAAAGAAGCAACCTCCTGCTTGTAAAGAGGTACTGCCTTACAATATATTTTCCTTTCTCTTCTCTATTTTCATTCTCATTTATCTGTCTTTTGTGTTCTATTTTTTGGACGAAGGCATATAAAACTTCTTGGACCAACTTTTGCCTTTAAATTATAGATGCCTGCTCCAATTACTGCATTCTTTATTTCAAACATTCATGCATGTGCAAGCACTTGAAGCAGCCAAATGTTAGAAGCATTTTCTCAAAAAGTGATTTTTTTTTAGTAATTTTCTGGCTCTTGTTACTCTAGTTGTGAAAATTCCTGACATTTTTCGCCCAATCGCACCTCAACCCCCTTCCCGCCCACAACCCTAAAGGAAAAAGAAAAAAGAGAATACCCGTTCTTTTCGAGTTGATCATGATTCACCTCTGTACTTTCATCTTTCAGCAATAAGGTAGATGGTGCTTCTTTATGAATCAGTTTTTCATTGACTATTTACTACAGCGGTATAGTCTGGCTGTACTGTAAAATGCTTCCAATTAATATTATAATACATCTCTTCAAGTTATGGTACTCAAATTAGTAAAGTGATTTGAAGGACCTTTTATTATGCACAGGGTGATGTTATCAAAGAAGGACAAATAGTAGGCTTTTTGGATCAGTTTGGCACTGAACTTCCAGTCAGAGTGAGCCTCTGCTCTAGTTTTCTTCTAATATAACTCTGCTTTCATGATGACCTGGTTATGATTTCTGCTCCTTTATATTGGTCCCCGAAATTATCTCTGAGAAGTCAGATGTGGCTGGAGAAGTCCTGAAGCTCCTTTATGATGATGGAGGTATGATGTCATGGATACTTTTGATTTTTAATATATGTGCTATCATGTGAGATTTTGGGCATTCTTTTTCACAGACCCCATTGTTGAAAAATTTGACGAGAATAGGATCAAACATATACTTCATTTTATATTTCACTAAAAACAAGAAAATACGGGTCATTACAAGACAAATAATTGCCTCCATAAATTTGTCCCTTGATTCATGTTTTTGAAACAATCATGAGTTTGCACAAAAAAATCCTCTACTTAAGAAGTTAATGTAGTTTTTTGAATTCTAGGTAAATAAATCATTTATTTAAATTTTTGTTATTTATGTGCTATTTAATCTTCAGAATTGGATTGGAAATTCTCTAGATTTACTTTCAAATGCGCTTGGCTAAGAGAAATGGGAGTGGTTAAATTTAGGAGACTCCATGTACATGTATGAATACTAGGATTATAGGAGATTTACTGGACTACAATGCTTATCTATTAAATCAATGCAAGCTAGGTACAGTTCCCTATGTGCTAAATATACATTTCTTTTCGATTGTTATCTGGCAAAAAAAATTAATCTACTAGGAAGAACGTGTAATGTTTAGACAAAATATTTTATAATTTCCTTTCAACAAGGAATTATCAAGGACCCTGCTGAGAAAATGTTATTTGTTACTTCCAGGGCTTCGATTTGTATAGCATTTCAAGCAATTTCTTCATGGTGCTTTTCAAATATATTGTAAACTCCATTTTTTTCTAGTGTAATGTCAGAAATCAGAATATATGCCAGTGGATAAATAATTTTGATTCAAAATGACTTCATAATTAGAAAAAGTTGGAACCATGAAATGCAAACGCTTATTAAGTTTTAGATTTCTCTCTGTATTTGATTTGCTTTCCTCTTTGTTTCTCATCCCGTTTGTTTAAATGCTTACAACTAACATCTGTTTGAACTTATGTACACCATCATCTTACACATTATGTTTTCACTTTTCATTGGGTTGTAATACGTATGGTTTCTAATACCTCGAGTTGACTTGCAGAAAAAAATCTTTCTAGGTTTGTCTTGTGTGTCCGAAATTCTTCTCCTTAAATCTCTAATATCTTCTGCCTTTTGTCTTGAATCCCATCTGATCTTATGAACATTCGAATCAATTCATGTTTCTCTTCCCTGCTCGCTACGTTTAAATTTTTTACCTGTGCCGACCGCTCGGGGATTGGGTGGCCCAGCCCTGATTTACACCAATAGTTATGTTTTGGGATTAAATCTTTTATCAGCGTATCATAGCAGACTAAAATTGTCATCTTTCACCTTGATATGGTTCATTAAAATAGTGAAGGGAAAGGCATGACTTGAATGAGTTATCTGCTTTTTGCTTATTTGTGTGGGCTTTCAAGTTGACTGAATGTATCTGCTTATTGCTTAAATTTACTTGATTTACAGAAGCTGTTGGTTATGGAGATCCCCTGGTAGCTGTCTTGCCATCATTTCACGGTATCGAATAAAATCACTGGAGCAGTGGTTTTCATTAGAATTTCTGGGGATTATTAAGCTTGCTAAGTGCATTCTTTTCTTTTTAATTTTCTCTACATCTTCTTGAGCTATTGCCCTGTAATTTAGGGCCCTTTTGTAGCTGATGTGAACTTGCATTGTTTGTCAGTTGA